ATTCGTAAGATTTCTGACCTCCGGGTATTTCACTACGCACTCAAGACCCTGTTGTTCCGCCAGGCTGGGTTAGCAACATAATTTTAAATTGGATGTTTTAAATTTTTGGGGTTTTAAATTAAGCCAAATTTATTTAATATTTTTAAATTATTTTAAATTGATGTTGATTCTGTTTTTAAATAGTCTGTACACCGCCCTGAGTCCTTCGGGAGAAAGGCGGTATAGAAATAAAATTATTATTATTATTATTATTATTATTATTATTATTATTATTATTATTATTGTAATATTTGATAAAACTTTTTTAATAAAAAAAAAGAACATTAATATATATATATAAGCAAACAGCCAATTGAGATTATTTACAAATGGACATATTTATACTACAGGTAATCCTCGAATTACAAATGTAATGGAGCCTTCCAATTACATTTGTAACCCAAGGATTTGTTGGAGTGAATCCAGAGGTGGGTGACACATGAATTAACAACCGGTTTGCCCAGCACCAAAAATGTGAGCATGCATGTGGCCTTCCACACGTGTGCTTTGCTCTCTCGTGCAGCTTGCACGCATGCGCGTGGCTTAAAAAATGTTGCTAAATAGGATGGCATAGTGCTGGGGTGGGTGAACCAGCCCACCCGCAGGTTGCAACTACGGGTTCTCTCAAACCGGTCCGAACTGGCAGCAGCCCACCACTGAGTGAATCACATAAAGTGAATGCGAAAACTCCCTGTTTTCACCCATGCATTTGCTAATCAAATGCAGAGGTCATTAGTGCACAAGAGGTATCTCAGGGTGGGGAAGGGTGGTAATTTGACCACCCAAGGCCTCCCCTAACCAACTGACATACCTGATGCTCACCACAATTGCTTCCCCCCATCCTGCATCACCGGGTCTCCACAGCCACTGAGCCTGCAGAGACTCATTTACCTTGTGAAGATCTAGGGAGCTGTCTCCTCTCTGTCGCAGTTTCTTTGTCTGTTGCTGGCACTCCAAAAGCTGAGTGGTGAGAGCAGAGGGAGAGCAGGACGAGCATGTCCTGCTCAGCCTTGCTGACTCACTGAAGCTGCCTGCTGCTTCTGGAATGGTGGGCAGCCTCAGTGAGTCTCCCAGAAGCATCCAGTCTCAGTGCGCAAAACATTTGCAAGTCAATGGGACTCTTTGAGGCAGCTAAATTGAGCTGCTTCAAAGCATTCCATCAGCTTGCAAACACTTTGTGCACTGAGACTGGATGCTTCTGGGAGCCATGCTCTCATGCGACTACAGGCACCCATTCTCTACAAAAGCAGATGGGTGCCTGAAGTTGCGTGAGATCACAGCCCCTAGAAGCTTCCAGACTTAGTGCTGCCTCAAAGCCTCCCATTGACTTGCAAGGCCTTTTGCCATAAATAACATGCAGGCCTCTGCTCACAGAGAACTGAGGCCTAAAGTACTGTGAGATCAAGAGAGATCTGCTATTGATCTTGCATGATCTCATGATACTTTAGGCCTCAGTTCTCTGCAAATGCACTGAAGCAGGCAAAGAAACTGAAGGCTCTCTAGATCTTCACAAGATAAGTGAGACTCCACAGACTCACAGTGCCTGTGGAGATCTGGCAAGGAAGGAATAGGCAAGGCAAATGTTGCAGTTCCTCTGCAGTCATTCGTAAGGGTGAATGACTGCCATAGTGCTACAACATTCGTAATCTCGGGACTGTGTTGTAAATACTGTGTTGTAAGACTGTGTTGTAAGTACCCCCATGTTATGTCACAACTTTGAATGGTCGCTAAGTGAACTGCTGTAACTGTATTAGGAAACAAAGGGGGGTTGTGCAAGATGTCATATTGCTGATGTTTGGTGCTTTGGGGGCACAAAATGAAATATGTTGAAATCTTTGGAACCCATGGACTACATATTTTGAATACCAGCAATATATACCCCCATAAAATTACTGCTACATTTGTTATTCATAGATTGTAAAGCCAAAATACTTAGGTCCCAGAAAATTCCAGCAGAACAACAAAGGGCAGCAATCCTTGATATCCATTTGTGGAATTGAAATTCAAGAAAAGGAAGTGAAAGAAACAAAAAAGGTATGGTGGAAGGAATAATAATAATAATAATAATAATAATAATAATAATAATAATAATAATTTTATTTCTATACCGCCCTTCTCCCGAAGCACTCAGGGCGGTGTATAGCCTATTAAAAGCACAAAGACAAACAACAATTAAAATAATTTAAAATTATTAAATAATTTCGGCTCAATATTAAACCCCCCCAAAATTTAAAACATCCAATTTAAAATCATTACATTGATAGCCCGGCCTGGTGGAACAGCAGCGTCTTAAGGGCACAGCGAAATACCCTGAGGTCGGAGATCTTACGCATTTCCGGAGGGAATTCATTCCACAGGGCTGTGGCTCCCACAGAGAAGGCCCTCCCCCTGGGTGTCGCCAGCCGACATAACTTGGCTGATGGCACCCAGAGGAAGGAGGGAGAAGGAAGGAGCTAGTTTTCTAAGAAAAAATAAGTACTACCATGACCTGAGAAATATTATAGTAATTGGTAGTTAGTATAAGTGAACTTATCTAATTGGCAACACAGGAAAAGCTGAATTTGGGAAGACTTTAGGTAGTCAGCAGTGAAAACAATAGAATTACCTCAGATCCTAGCAGTGTTTTAGTGTTTTACAAATGCTAAATTTAAATCCCATTAAAATCATATTTATTAGTATTACAAATATCATCAACTTCTAAAGAAACTGGGGAAAAAACCAATTCAAGGGAGGAAATTGTCCGTGTTAACTGATATATAAATGTAGCCATATCAGTTTGAGTGGTTTCAATAGAAATCTGTGACAGCATTTCTTAACTCTGGTGTTTTCATGCTGATCAAAATCTTTTACCAAATCTTATCAATTTGCTCAGTGTGTGCTTTATTTATGCCTCTGAAAAATTGTTAAGTGATATGCTGATGTCTAATGCTTACTATAAGTTAAAAATGTCAAATCCGTTTCAGCTGCCAAGAGAGATTCCTGCTGCTTGATGACAGATTATACTACACTCACTAGACTTTGACAAAATTAAAAGCAATTTTTCTGCTATTTAAATACACCTGGCTATTACCATAAAGCATTGTTTTCAGAGTGAGAAATCAGGGGAAATTTAGACTTGGCAAAAATCTGCTTTTTAATACCCCAAGGAACTCTCCAACTATAATATAACAAATGTTAAGTTTCCTTACAGAAATCAAAGAGATCATTTTACCTTTTGCAGTTATTGTCTAGCTATGGGTTTAAGTTGTGGCCTGGTAATCATGTGTCATCAAAACTACAAGAGAAGCAAATTATCTATTAATGAGAAAAGTGAATCTACAAATTTAAAAATGGGGAACAAACTACAAATTTCTGGGATTAATAGGTATTAATATTTTTGTGGTAAACAAGGATCAACTACTTAATTCTTCACTTTCACTATTGTAGTCTATAACAAACATTGCTTCTCCTTGTTACCAGGGGATATTGAATTATGGTTTCATATGAACATGAATTTTTCAAAACACACAAATACATAAAGGCTCATCAAGACTCAAGATCCCTCTAACGTTGTTCCTTGACCAACTTTCTAATCTAATTTGAGAGTCTGATGAGCTGCTACAATAAAATGCACTATTGCAGGAAAATATTTTAGTCTACTTCTTAAATATATTTATACTTATTGTTTTTTTAGCTCTTTTGTAGGCTGTCCAGAGTTGCTTGTTTGTAAGATGGACAACTATAAAAACTGGTTTAATAAATAAATAATAAAGATTCATGAAGGTTCCTTCCAGGGGTGGGTTCTACTTACCTTTACTACCAGTTCGCAATGGGATCGTGCACATGCACTTGCTTCGCTCGCACATGCCTTGCTTCTGTGCATGCACAGATCGCTTCTCATGACATCAGGGTCAGTGGGCGGAGCCTCCCATTGGTTTTACTACCGGTTCTATCGAAGCAGTCCGAACCCACCACTGGTTTCTTCCTTCCATATGCATAATGAAAGTGAATAGTGACATTCTTCAATGGTTTACTTGTCCTTCCTCCAGCTAAGGTAAGGACTGGTCCAGTTTACTTGCCTCTCATTCCAAATTTTATTACAAAACTCTTCATGATTTTTTTCCAAAATGGATGCAATATATATTGCTATGAAAAATGAATGAATTATTTCTTTGCAAATATTGCTTTTTTAATAAATGCTTTGCAGGAGTAGAAGGCAGTTGTTTTATCTTCTATTTACTGCTAAACTCAGTATTAGCTTCTGTCAGAAAGAATGGCTGAGAGATAAAGACAGCAAACAAAGGAGTAAAATCAGTGATAAGGGTTAGAATAGTGTGGAAAAGATGGCAGGATATATGGTTGCAGTTATACGGGAACTGCCAAGCATGCATTTGCCCTCATGAAAATTAAAATAAACTTTTGAAGCTGTCTATTGTGTTGATGGGTGCTTGTCATTTTGGTGGCTTTTTACATTGTTTATTTTTTATTTTGTTGGACTAAATGTCTGTCCAACAAACTTCAACTCCATCCAGTTAGAGACCTGATCTCTAGCTCTAATTTTATGGTCCGTAGTTCTGTAATCTCTTGCGTCCCATCATCAGATTCAGCAGCCCTAAGTTACATCAGCCTGCTTCAGCTTCACAGCTGGTGGTGCAACAAAATTAGGCCTAACTACTTTATCTCTCATTTATTTCTATTCTTTATAGTGTCCTGATTTTCATTGTCCTCCACTGAATCCTGTGTATTTCCATTGCAGGAATAACAGGTAAAAAGCAGAATGACTAGGTCCACAGGCATCATTGCAGCAAACCATTAAATAGGTATTCTCAGTATATGAATATACATTTAATTAGAGTTTTGACTGGAACAAATTTTTAATATAGTTATGAGTTTTATTCGTGAAAATAACTAAGAGATAAGAAGGAAGAGGAGAAGGGATGGAAAAAGAAAGTTGTGTTACACAAATGTGGACCATCTGGAGATGCATATCTGGAAACACATTTAATAGCAAAGGGCAAAATCTTCACTCAGAAATGAACTGATCTGCTGAATTCCATGTTCTTCATTTCATAAAATCTTCACTTCCATTCCAATAGGGACACATATTTTTTGCTGTTTTCACAGGAGAGACTGAATAGGAGGAGGGAGGAGAATGAGTAAATATGTGGCCATGTCCAACTTTTTTATTAAACAAATATTTTTTAAAAATATATTCTAACCCACACCTCCTCCATAGACCAGGATGACTGAAAATTGTAATCTTGTTTTTAATTAAAAAAAACCCTACCTTATCTCAGCTTCCACTGTTTTTGAATCTCCAATAAACATTATTTTTACAATTCCTCTTTGTAAGAAATGAATGTAGCTTATATGGGAACAAAGCCTATGTTGAATTATGTTTAACTTCATTCTGAGTATACATTTATATCATTGTACTATAAAGGAAACCAATGTGAATAGCTACTAGTTTTAGAATTTATTTAATTAGGATTATTTTATTTTAAAACAATTTTTGAAAATTACTCCTGCATAATTATGCCAAATTCAAATATGATATTAAATGTGTAAAAAAAAAATTAAATTATTTTTTACTATGCAATTTTCTTTGTTACTGTATATATAAAATTTCCATATTCACAATAGCAGTGTACTGTCTGGGTACAATCTCTTTTACATACACATAATAGATCTTGTACACACAATAATTATGACTGTTATTCTCAAAATCTATTCGCCATGGTCTTCACTTATCCTTATTAAACATTTTCCATTGTTTAATTAAACACTCTGTTCAATTTTCTCTATAATCAAGTTATACTATCAGACATTATAAACATCATGTAAACATCACATTTATAACCATTATCCTTCAAGTCATAGTGTTTACTTATCCTAATTATTCAATATTTGTTATTTAATTACAATTAATTCGTCTTTGTTTACATATCCTCCTTGATTCTAAATTTCTGTTTCTATTTTCTAACCATTAATAAACTAGTTCCTAAGTTAAAGAGTAATATTTTCCCCATTTCTAGTTTCTACCTCTATACTAATTTTTAATAGAACAACTTCTGTATTAGACTGTATTCTACATCTATTCCTCATCTCTTGCCCATTTTTGTATCTCATCTCTTACTGACTTCTTGGCACATCTCTCATACTCCTCCCTTGGCATCTTATATCTTCTTCTTCTTTTTTTTAAAATTAGATTTATATACCGCCCTACTCCCAAAGGACTCAGGGCAGTGAACAGGCACAAAATAAAATACATACATAAGTTAAAAGATATAATTAAAACCAGATTAAATAATTTAGCCCAAGACAATTAAAAAATCCCAATAATTTAAAACAAATTAAAATTTCGATGTAAAAGAATTTTAAAACAGGGGAGAAAATTAGGGCAGGCCAGCTTGCTGGAATAGAAGAATCTTAAGAGTACGGCGGAAAGTGCGTAGATCCAGGGTCCTCCGTATCTTTGGGGGGAGCTCGTTCCAGATAGTGGGTGCCCCCACAGAGAAGGCCATCCCCCTGGGGGCCACCAGTCGACATTGTTTAGCTGACGGCACCTGGAGGAGCCCCTCTCTATGAGAGCGTACCGGCCGGTGGGAGGCTGCTTGTGGTAGTAGGTGGTCCTGTAAATAACCAGGTCCTAAGCCATGGAGCGCTCTAAAGGTGGTAACCAGAACCTTGAAGCACACCCGGAAGACCACCGGGAGCCAGTGCAGCTCACGCAGGAGAGGTGTCACATGGGAACGCCATGTTGCTCCCATAACCACCCGTGCAGCCGCACTCTGCGCCAGTTGGAGCCTCTGGGTGCTCCTCAAGGGGAGCCCCATGTAGAGAGCGTTGCAGTAGTCCAGGCAGGAAGTGACGAGGGTATGAGTGACTGTGTGTAGGAAGTCCCGATCCAGAAAGGGATGCAACTGGCGAATCAGGCAAACCTGATGAAAAATCCTCCCGGTCACGGCCATCAAGTGCTCTTCTAAAGACAGCCGTGAATCCAGGAGGACACCCAAGTTGCGAGCCCTCTCCGTGGGGGCCAGCGATTCGCCCCCAATAGTCAGCGATGGTGTCAGCTGACTATATCGGGACGTCGGAAACCACAGCCACTCGGTCTTGGATGGGTTGAGCCTGAGCCTGTTCCTCCCCATCCAGATCCGCACGGCCTCCAGACACCAGGACATCACTTCAAGGGCATCGTTGGGATGGTCCGGGGTGGAGATGTACAGCTGGGTGTCATCATCGTACTGATGGTACTTCACCCCGAAACCACGGATGATCTCGCCCAGTGGCTTTACATAAATGTTGAACAAAAGGGGCGAGAGGACCGATCCTTGTGGCACCCCACATATGAGGGGCCTCGGGGTCGACCTCTGCCCCCCTGCCAACACAGACTGCAACTGGTCGGAGAGAAAGGAGGAGAACTACCGTAATACAGTGCCCCCCACTCCTAACTCTTCCAGCCAGTGCAGTATGATACCATGGTTGATGGTATCAAAAGCCGCTGAGAGGTCTAATAGGACCAGGACAGAGGAGCAGCCCCTGTCCCGAGCCCTCCAGAGATCATCAACCAATGCGACCAATGCCGTTTCCGTGCTGTACCCAGGCCTGAAGCCCGACTGGAATGGATCCAGATACGTCGTTTCATCCAGGTACTGGGGGAGCTGTTGCACAACCACACTCTCAACAACCTTCGCAACAAAGCGAAGGTTGGAGACCGGACGGTAGTTAGCCAACACTGTCGGGTCCAGGGAAGGCTTCTTGAGGAGAGGCCTCACCACCGCCTCTTTCAAGGCGGCGGGGAAGTCACCCTCACCCAACGAAGCATTTATAATCCCCTGGAGCCAGCCTCGCGTCACCTCCCGGGAAGCCAGCACTAACCAGGAGGGGCACGAGTCCAATAAACATGTGGTCACATTCAGTCCACCCAAAATCCTGTCCACGTCATCAGGGGTCACAGGATCAAACTCATCCCAGATAACATTCTCAAGACCTGCCTCAGTCAACCCCCGTGGAACTACCCAGTCGGAGTCCAGATCTTCCCGAATCTCAGTGATTTTGTCATACAGATATTAAACAAAATCCTTGGCTCTACCCTCCAAGGGGTCCCCCCGTGCTTCCTGGTGGAGCAGGGAGTGGGTCACCCTAAACAGAGTGGCCGGGCGATTATCTGATGACGCAATAAGAGCAGCAAAATATGTACATTTTTCTGCTTTTATTGCCACTAGGTAATTCTTAATATGAGATCTTATCAGTGTCCGGTCGGATTCAGAAAGACTGACCCTCCAACTATCCTCTAGGCGTCTTTTCTGGCGCTTCATCTCCCTCAGCTCCTCAGTGAACCAAGGAGCTAGGTGAGATTGGCGCCGGGTCAGAGGCCGCAAAGGCACAACCCGATCCAGAGCTCCAGCGGCCGCCCTATGCCAGGCGGCCACTAGGTCCCTAGTCGAGGCGTGTGCCAGAGCCTCAGGAAATGGCCCAAGCTCCATCTGGAATCTATCAGGTTCCATCAGGCGCCTGGGGCGGAACCATCTTACCGGCTCAACCTCCCTGCGACGGGGTATAGCGGTTCGAAGGTCAAGGCGGAGGAGAGAGTGATCCGACCATGACAAGGGCTCGGTGACTATATCCCCTATCTCAAGATCACTCAACCACGTCCAGAGACAAAAATCAGGTCCAGGGTGTTTCCCCCTTTGTGGGTAGGGCCATGAATTAACTGGGTCAGGTCCATAGCTGTCATGGAAGCCATGAACTCCCAAGCCACTTCCGACGTCTCACCCACAGATGGCAGGTTGAAATCCCCCATGACCATAAGTCTGGGGGTATCAACCGCCACTGCGGCAAAAATGTCGAGGAGCTCGGGCATATCTACCCCTCCCACTCAGGGTAGTGATGTTCAAAGCACTATCTGTACAAATTCTGACTCCCCCCTCGACCCCGGGATCCCCACCTCCCACGCCGTGCTTTCTTGCCAGGCCTGCCCCTCCCCTTAGTGGGCTATCCCCCATGCCCACAACCCGCATTCCAATCAAACCCTCCCCCTCCCTAGAACCCCTTAAAAATTTAACTAAAAATTTGAGTAAAAGACCCCTCAACCCCCTAGTTTTCACATGCCTTCTTAAATCATTCATGTTTAATCTAAGTATTTCATCTGTCTCTATCACTTCTTCACTCTGTTGAGCCTTCAGTAGACTTTTCAATGATCCTTTCCTCACTTCAGGGGTGTCTTTCCATGTATCCTCTTCTGTTTTTTGATCTCTTAAAGTGTAATTTATCTTTTCTATTTCATCAGCTTTTATTATCGCTTCTTTTTCTTTTTGTATCCTTTGTCGTTTTTCCTCCTCTGTTCTTTCTATTTGCTTCTCTACTTCCTGGATTTCATATTCATTATTCAGTGTAATTTGCTCATGATTTTCTGGTCTCACAACTACGTCATGTATTATTAATTCCTTTATCTCCTTATGATTCCTTGTCATTGTTTCCTGCGTACCTTGGAGCAACAATAATATTTCTTTTAATAATATATTTATTTCCCCCTGTTGCACAATTTTGCCTTATTTTAATGAATTAAAAAGTTATTCAGTAATCTATCCAGATTCCAAAGTCCCAATTATTCATCATACTAAGAAAGCCAATATTAGAGCAGTTCACAAAATCACTCCCTTAAATAGTCCATTAGCAACCTTCACTTAGTTTCCATACAAATCCAAGCTGTTTCCCACTCTCACACTGTCCAGCATATTTGTAATCCTCAAGGTTCTAAGATTTGAATGTTTTCACAGTCTGTCTCTAAACACCAAGTACAATCAATTTGCAGGTGTTGTTTAATGTATTTCAGCTAATTTGTAGACTAAACATCTTTCACTCTTTCTTCCACTTTTTTCAGCCCTATGATATCTTCCCTGGCCAGTAGGTGTCACTGTTACTGTTTTTCTCCACTTTTGCTGCAAATAAAATATCTCAAAAAATATTTTCCAGTAATTTCCCCAGGTCCTTCAAATCAAGGTGGCAATAAAAGTTTAATCCAATATTTTGAAATGATTTAAATTGCTAAAAACTAGCCAATCCAGTCTATCCTTTATCTTTAAGGTTCTTCTGTCTGCAATTTCTTTTCTTTCTTTTCCAAATTT